CTGGTGCAGTGCTGTGTTTTTGACTCTCAGCCTGGGAACAGCGCTGATGACACCAATGTTTTTAGATGCTGCTCAGTAATGTTTAGTGTGACCAAGGACTTTCTGAGTCTCGTGCTCTGCCAGGGAGGAGGGGAAGCCGGGAGGAAGCAGAGACAGGACACCTGACCCAAACTAACCAAAGAGGTACTCCATACCACAGCACATCATGCCCAGTATATAAACTGGGGGCAGTTACCCAGAAGGGTTAGATCACTGCTTGGTTGGGCTGGGTATCGGTCGGTGAGTGGGGAGCAGTTGTATTCTCTTCCCTTGTTATTTCCCTTATCATTATTATTATTGGTGGTAGCAGTAGTGATTTGTGTTATACCTTAGTTACTGGACTGCTCTTATCTCAACTGGTGGGAGTTACATTCTTTCTATTCTCCTCCCCATCCTTCCGGAAGTGGAGGGAGGAAGAGGGGGATGAGTGAGCTAATGGCTGCATGGTTTCTGAGTTTAAACCACGACACCCTCAAATACCTGGCTCAGTTTATTATGGAGTATCTATACAAGAAGGTTAATTCATAGAATCCTAGAATGGTTTGGGTTTGAAGGGATGTTAAAGATCACCTAGTTCCAACACCCTGCCATGGGCAGGCACACCTTCTGGTAGGTCAGGTTGCTCAAAGCTCCATCCAGCCTGCCCTTAAACACTTCCAGGGATACCCAAAATATGTTATTCCCAACATTACTTATCGAAGGGTTATCATGTGTTCATGGGTATGTGGATGGTTCAGGTTGTGATAATGGGCCATTATCACATTCATATTTATCATGATATGATAAATATTATGTTCATTAATTATCATTATTCATATTTGCCCTAGCAGGGTAAATATGAATATTTTGTCCTGTTTATCTGTAATATGTCCTTATCATTGGTACTAGTTATTAGGTTATTCTAGTTGGAGACAAACTCCTAGTTTATATGAACTCTTCTTACCACAAGACTACTATTGATTCATTCCATCTTAATTAAACAAATTTATTGGTGCCTTTTCTTGGAAGCCTTACACTTCCTGTTTTTCATTATTAACTCCACAAATATATTCAATTGAACAAGTAAAAAATATTTATAAAAATGTCCTGATGGACCTTTTCCTTTCCTGTTCCTCCAGCTTCTTGCATCATTTCATGATCAATCTTGACCCTTAAAAATCTCATGGGAATAAAAAAGACAACCGCAATTGTCTAAGAAAGTGAATAAACATGAGGACTTTCATTAGACACAACCTAGTGTTAATGGGAGTGGATGAAAAAAGCCAAAATATGCAAATAATTTTGCTTTGTCATAGAAGTATGATAAAACTGAGCAGCATTCTAGATCTTTTTTTATGCACTCCTTACTCAAGCAAAACTTTTGCTGGCATCTGTGTTGAGTCCTTCCTGAGTAAAATTTCTGGGATTTTGTCTCTTAATGAAACAAAAAGATGGTGCCAATACACTAACTATACACTTAAGCTTACACTGCCTGTTCATTTAAGCACAAGATGATACAGAATAAGGTCAGGGGAAATCATCCTATATTCATCCCCAAAGATATCTGATATACCCAATGACAGCAGGACCCTGTTTATTCAAAACACTTTTGGAACATCAAAACATTTGGATAAACAGGGCTTCAAATAATTGAGGGAGTTATTGTATAAGTAATTCACACCAGGGGGACATAACCTAGATTCAAAGGAGTTTCAGATCAAAGGGGTACAGATAAATGGGATTTTTCTCCGTATGAAATAATAAAATAAACAGCATTTGATAATTCAGGAATCAAGAAGCGTCCAAACATTCCCCCCCCCCCCCCCAAATACTTTATGATGAAAGGTCAAAATTGTTGCAATAAGCCATACAGAAGAATGTCACTATGAAATCAAAATAACTACACGAGACCAAAAGGTGTGAGTTTGGGTGTTTTTGAGCATGTATGCATGTGTGTGTGTGCCTTGTTCATGGTGGGCTTTGTTCTATTTCTTTTAAACTCACCAATCTTTCATTCAGTATCATGTAAAGTTTATGAAGTTTCTTGATCTTATTCCAGCCATACACAGATCTTCAACTTCTGCCATATTTTGTGGTGGAAGGTGGGGATTTGTAACATCTGTGGCTCTGTAACTCATTTTCCCCAATGCCCAACAGAAGCAAACTATGAAATATACAAGTTTAGTCTTGGATGGCCAATACTATGTGATTGTTCACCTTTCTATTACTATAATGACCCAGATATGGTTTATCTGCATACAGACAAAATCTCCTAATAAACGTCCTTTAAAATACAGATTTTGGAATTTAAGAAGAGGTTAAGTGTAAAGATCTATGCTGATAGTCACCCCCTGCACCGTTAACATGGCAGGATGGATAATTTGCTAATTTAGAAGAATAAATGGCCTTTGCCTTTGCCTCTGAAAGCTATGCTCACATTCCCATAATTCAGTATTGCTCCTTACTGTCTGTGTAAGGACCTTTGATAGTGGTGGTGGCAGCAGAGAAGACAGACTCAACATTTAAAGGGGAGTTAAAGGTCTAAAAATACGACACATTCTGGTTCCACCCCAACACCTGATTTCTGTGGCTAAAAGCCCAGCCAGGAGATGCTTCTCCTGCCACCCTGCCTCACCTCAAACAGCCCCATCACAACCCGCTAGCCTTAGAGAAAGGAGGATCCCAAATGGATGGTGTGTGGAAGGCGCCTTCTGCCTGATGTTTCAGAGCCACTTTTACAGCCATCTCAAGACACACCGGATTGTCCTGCCGAATCCCCCCTTGATGTTTCTGGGCCTGGTAGTTGGGTGTTTGAGCCCTCAGGTCTGTCAGCACTGCCATTATCCAGGTCCTGCACCACACCTAGAGCATGTTTACCCGGTGCCGGGGCAGGCAGTGCCTCACCCCTCGCCATGGAGCAGGTCTCCCAGTCCTGCCAGCCGCCCGTTTGGCCGCCGACCCTAACTCCCTGCCCTGTCCCTCTCCACAGGGTGCAACCCCCTCAGCCCCAGGCTCCCCACCCCACTTTTGGCGGGAAGAGCGGTGTCGCGCCGCCACCATCTCGCCGACGCTGCCAGCAGAGCTCGCTGCTTCCTCTCTCCTTCCCCATCCTGTCCCGCGGCTACATCGGGGGCTGTAGAGTAGAAGGGATGAGAGGACGGTATGGGGAAGTGCCGACTCGGTTGTTGGCGTCGTTTTCCTCAACTGCTTTTCCTCCCTCCTCGATGAGGAACTACGGGCTCAGATGTGTGAGACGACGCACCGCGGCTCTTGAGGGGAGAGGGGTGGAAGCGTGATGAAAGGGTGAAAGAGGAACAGCTGTTGGGCTTGCAGTAAGGTAGGGGAAGAATGGTGCTTGAATGAAACGTTTGGGGGAAGCAGCTTGGAGAAATGGCAGTTTGATGTTGAGTTTAGTAGGGGCAGAAAGTAAACACCTGTGAGGGTTGGAGGGAACACAGGTTGCCGTTGGAAAAACGTAGAGGCAACCCTCTCAGCAGAGCAGTCTGAGTGTGTGGTCGCAAGGAGAGAGGGGAGCAGGAACGGTTTGAGGCGTTTTGGAGCTTGCTGGCAGGTTGCTGCAGCGCACAGTCTGGAAGTGAGTAAAGATGAGTCGTAAAGAGCAAAGCAGGGAGAGGTTAAAACAGGTGTTGAGGTTTTGTTTCCTGAGGAAACAGCAGGATACCTTTGAATTGGTTTAAGGTTTCAGTTCACTAGCGTGGTTTCCTCTTGCCGCCTCATCATGTTAACTCCTCTGCAACCTGTTGGGTAGAGTTGTGTTGTCTGTGATGCAGGTAAAGAACCAATTTCTAGTTTTATTCCAGTTTGCATCAGCAGCTGCTATTTGTAGATACAGGTATTGAAAAAAGGTAGATTTTGCTCTTTAAAAAAACCCTATCTGAAATAGTACTTTCTCTCAATGAACAACAGGTAATGATAAGGCCTTGTACAAGTTGTACCCTCTCTTCACTCTGCCTTTCTTTTATATGCTTGTCAAGGCTTCCTTCTCTGACTTCTTCCTCTCTGAGAATCCTTGCTCTGTGTTGTGTCTCAGTTACAATTTGACAAGAATATCTTGACCAGTTCTCTGTCTGGAATGGAGCAGAGAAGAGAATATAAAACCAGAACTCAAGTGATGTATTGGTTTCATCTTGATAGCCCTGGACTCTGACTGAAACTGATGTACTTTTTGAATTCCGGACCATACACAGGCTTGTGCATAACGTATTAGCATAGTTCACATTTCATCCAACTCCTTAAGCTCTGAAGGTTAAATACAGGCATAAGTACTTGGACAGAAAAGGTGGAAGTTTTCTTATGCTGCTAGTATAGGGCCTGTGGATCTGGTAATCAGTTCCCATTACTATCTAATCCCTGGATTTTATACTGTCTGTCTAATTAAGATAGTGGCCATGCCATTTTTTTGCTGCTTATCTAAAGATCTGAACTCTATTTGCTCCAATCAAACTCAAAAGCAAGTCTGTCATCAAATTAGTGGTTATAGGATTGGCCCTGTCTTTTTCCTACCGTTTTTCTCTTTGCCTTGCTCCCCCTCTTCCCCCCCCCCCCAAAAAAAAAAGAAAAAAGAAAAAAGAAAAAAAGTTTCTTTTTAAATGGTAAACCTCACGGAAGAAGTAGGTTCTCCAGAATCTAATAGAATCAATTAATTTTTCAGGTTCATTTTCAGAAGTAAGGTTGTTTTGTTTTGTGGGGTTTGTTTATTTTTTTCTGTTTTCTGCCACAATCTCAGCTTTTCTTTAATACTCTGGAAGTACAGCTGCATAATGGAGTATACTTCAGAGGAAAAAAGTGTATTTTTTGTTCTTAAAATAATATACACATTAAACTATACTTAATTATGACTTATTAATAAATTGATAAACGTAGGTATTTGCTATTGCATTGATCATGATGCTCTGTGGCAGGCAGAGGCAGTAATTGCTGCTGATGGGGAAGAAAAGGTAGTGGAAGGAGGCGGGGAGAAGGGGGTGACAGATGAGGAGATTGGCTGCTTTTAATGTCAATCACAGCTGCGTGCTCCGGCTCTTCCGCTGCTCTGGCTCTGGCTCTCCCTTGAATAGCTCGTAGAGGGAGCAAGGCGTGCGGAGCTTGGATCACCAGCATCATGCTCCTTGGGCTTGGATCGGAGATCCCCCTCTTTGAACATTAAAATAACTCATTCGTCCATCAACGTCCCAGGCAGACCCAGCGAGAAAACACGCACGTGAGAGAGAGGAAAGAGGAGGAAGAGAAAAACCTGCAACCAAGTGGACTAAAGCAAAGAGAAAAAAAGAGTGCTTTGCTTGCACAGCTGCAGAGTGGGAATTTAAAGAACTGCAGAGAGAGAAATTCCATCTCATCAGCACATACACATTGCAGAATTACAGATCCAGGTAGAAATGACATCAACAGGAAAAGAAGGAAGCGGAGCTCAACATGCACAATATGTTGGACCCTATCGTTTGGAGAAAACCTTAGGAAAAGGACAGACAGGTTGGTTCTTTTGCAGCAGCACTGGCGCTAGCGGGAAGATGCTGTAGCAGCCAGTGAGATGTTGGGGATGGGATATATGAGGGTTTAGGTTTTCCCATTTGCTGTTTTAGTGGAGGTAATATTCATATGGGATTTTTGCCTTTATTTATTCTTTCTTTTCTTCATTTTTCCCTTTCCCTAAAAAGAAAAAGAGTAGCCCAGGATGCTTTATGTTCATTACTCCTGCTAATGGGTGTTGTTCTGATGACAGCCGGAGTGCATGCGGAGGAAAAATTAGATGAATAGATGCTCTGCTGGTGGTGAATTTTCACATCAATTTCTTCACTGCCCTACTTAGGAGCATTTTCTTTTTAATCAAATTATATTGAAATTAAAGGTTCACAGCCTGTAGTACCAAGGAGGTGGTGGTAGTGGGGGAGTCACCAGCAGTATTTCATGACATCATGATTGAAAAGGGTGTAGTCCTTAAGGTGCAGTTGGGGGGTTGGAAATATGTACAGTATGTCTGTGGCACTGACTGCTGTGGGTATTTAGCAAATATGGATGGATGGGCTGGTGGTTTTTGTGGGTAGGGTCAGAAATAAAAGAAAAATAGAGGATTGGTAGCAGAATTCATTTTGGTTATGCTGTGTTTTTGTAGGAGGGATTGGGGGGGAGGGGAGATTATTTAATTATTTTTCTTAAAGCTTGTTTATGAAACTTGCCCCCAGCAGATTTTCCTGAATGGAACAATGGTAAGAAATATTAAAAAGAGGAAGCAGTGGAGGGTATTAGCAGAGAGCAGATGCTTCTGCCCTACATGACATAATTAGATCTCTTAAATGCATTCAAGATCTGGACTTACTGTTGCTTGCTTGGATAGCATATTCACTTCAAGGGCAGGGGAGCATTGATTGGAAGAAAAACCCTAAAAATAAGCCCAAATGTCTTCCTTTATTTATTTATTTATTTATTTATTTTAGTAACAGGTGCAATAAACAATGGCATCTGGCAAATTCAGTGGGTCAGGAGCCCCCCAGAAATCGATTAAGATTTGAGATTATAATTTAGGGAAAGGGGAAGATCAGCCATATCAGCCATAGGGGGGCTTCTTTTGGCATGTGGGTGTTAAGTGTTGTTCATTATGAGTGGACAATAAAACATGATGCATTGTGGTGTATATATATTTTTTTTTTTTTAATAACCCAGCCGAGCTTTGCCCATCTGTTGTCTAAAGGATTTAATAGGCGTTTCCATTCCCAGCTGCTGCCTCTCCTTTGCCTGCTTCCTCACTGCTCTGCATGGCAGCAGCTCTGCAGTCCGCAATTTTCTTAGGGACACAGTCAAAATCCAGATCTTTCTCTGAAAGAAGCAATGCTCTTCTGAGATGATTGATTATACACTCCCCCCCCCCCCATCCTTCCCCTCCTCTTCACAACCCCATAGCAACCATTCGGAGACATGGATGAAGATGACACTGTCTTCTAGTGAAAGTGACTTTTTTTTTTTTTTTTTTCCCGAAATCTCTTCCGTGTATCAGCTGCTAAAAGATAGCTGCCTGTCAGTGTTTTGGTTACCACCTTTATTCTTTGCAGAGCTCAATAAGCCCTTACTTCTACAGCTGTATTCTTACTAAAATTTGGTCTGATAATGAAAATACCAAAAAATAGCAGTGTATTGTTAACAAAACTGCTCTATTTCTCCCGGTAATCCTTTCCTGGATTGTCCAGGTGATCAAAGAGCCAGCTGTACATGACAAATCCATTTTTGTCTTTATCACTATTTCCTATTTTCTCTCTCTCACCTTCTCGGCATCCCTCCCTCCCCTTTAAATACAATTGTGTCTGAGATTCCTGAAAATACAGCTACGTTAACCTTTTGCTCCATGTCTCATAGCCTGATGTTGTGGTTCTAAAGGGTTATCTGCAGCTTTGGTTATTTTTTTTCCTCTCTACTAATCTTCCTATCTTCCTCCTAAGTGATTAGAGACGTGGGGGTGGAGGGAGAAGGAGAGGATGTATTTAGGGGCTTGCTGCTGTTGGCCTCTGCAGTTATTCAACCAGCTGGACAAGGATGAAAGTTTCCTTTTGCAGTTTTACCATATAACTGATCTTTATAGAGATTTCTCTGCTGTTTGCACACATGAATGCACATAAGATGCACAATGCATGGTGTCACAGAAACTGGGGGGGGGGGGGGGGGGGGGAGGAGGAGGAGGAAGAGACATCTTAAAGTAGCTGATGTCAGTCTGTCTTCCTTGCTATACCCGCCCTTGATAAATGGAATAATGCACTGAGGTAAAATCTAACTCTGTTTTAAACATACGTGGCTAAATATGGAAAGATGCATTCTGGTCTTCTCGCGTTTTCTGTGCTAATCGCATTTGGGAGCATGCAGAATGGCATGAACAGTGTGTGGTACGTAGAGCTAGTCCTCATCCTGCTTGTTTTGGATGGTAAGCAAGCAACCTGCAGCATTTTAGAGAGAGGACAAGTGCAGTGTGAAGGCCTGATTCACCACATGTATGTTCTTGTGTCTAAAAAGTTATAAATACAAAGGTGTTTGGCTTGCAGTGGCATATGGCTGAAGAAAATAGTAGTTGTAATCATTCCTTTAGAGCTTGGAAGATTAGGAGGTGATGGTTTGGAATATCCCCTTTTCCCCCCATCTCCCGAAGGTATGAGGAGGAGTGAGAAATAAAATCTGGCAACACGTAATGATGAATGGAAAGAAAGCATTAAATTGTGTTGCTAAGTCCCATCCATTTTAAAGTGATCTTCATATCAGTTTTTATTTTGAGTGAAAAATTCTTGACTCTATAAAGTTATATCAGGTAGACAGGTCTAGCTTTGCTCTGAGACACATCAGTATCATGCAAATGTATTAATCACTCTTAGCTGCTTTTTACTGTGATCAAAAGAAGGGGGTTTTGGGCAGGGGTGTGAGTTAATAGTTCAGGGCAGACTTAGGGTGTCACGGAGGGAGAACTTAATGGTAAGTAGAACTCTCACTGGCTTTCTCTCTGTGAAGTTCTCACTGATTCACACTTTGATAGCTGAAGAAAAGTGTTTACCAATAGCAGCCTACTGGCCCCTGCAAAGAGGTCCAGTTGCCATATCTGGGACATTCATGGAACCTGGTGACATCTGGCTGTGGGTGGGCAAAACTGATGCAGAAGTGCCTTCAGTCCAAATTGGTGGATAATGACCATTGTTCAAAGTGTTGATTAGGAAAAAAAAAGGGCTATGGAAAGTGTGTCCTGAGTGCACACCTGGGCTGGTGCATCAGTCAAGCTTGCTGAGGGTGACTGGTGACACAGAGAGAGAATTAGGGCTTCTTAGGCAGAGATGGTGGAAAAGGGCTACATGGGGCAGTGCTGAAAAGTGTCTGTGCTTAGGTCTCTGCTGGTAGTGGGAATGATACAGGAATGAAGGGAAGTTATTTTTAATAACACGGCATAACATATAATCTGACTACTACAATAAGATGGTTTGCTTTTGTAATAAGTTGAATTCAGAGCACCTCTTGTCTATCAGCTGGAGGAATAGCTCATGGAAATCTCTTTGAATGGTTTTGCAAGAATACATGAAGCAGTATAATCTTAACTGTTGTACTAAAAGAATTATACAGAACTGTCAGTGCAAAAGCTTATTACTATATGTATATACAAGTATGTGTGGAAAGGTTTTTTTATCCAATTTTTCTGTAGTTAATTATAGGAGGTTTTCATTGTAATTAACAGTAATGAGCAAAGGATGTGTGTCATGTTACAATAACACATATGGAAACAGTGACTCGAGAAACCCCAGTCATACCTGATTATGAAGCGCTGTTTTACTTCTAGATCAGAGGTTTATCTCCATTTGTCACTAATTCTGTGTGAAATCACCTTCTTGGGTATTCCTTGCTTTTTAATTATTACTTTTTTAAATTTCTTTCTTCATGTGTTTCTTTGGGCCTCATTAAACTGTTTCATCCTTGAACCTCTGAAGATTAATTCAGATTTTCTGTAGTGAATATTTACTAATGAATGCAAAGATGAGGAACTGAAGCTTTTCTTGTGAAGGGCTTCAGCATTTTGGAGGGTTTTCTTGTGTTTTCATGTGATAGTCACCATATAGGCTTCAGCACCATTGTTTGCTATGGCATCAATTCAGTGTCCAGTAGAAATTACTGAAGTGCTGCTTTGTCCACAAGCAATAGATATTGGCTCTAAGTGGGAGTTGCCCTGTTCACTTTGAGATAAACTTGATGAAAAAATTCATGTTGCTGATCTATTTGTCTTGTTTCTTTCATTCGGTTTTAAGCCCAGTTCTGCAGACATACAATGTAAAGAATATTGCTTGAAACTCACAGCACTTTCACCTTTGCAAAAAGTGTAGGGGGTCCCTTTACTGGATTGTGTAACATGTAACTTATAGCTATATTGGGGTATAATGTTAATTATGTATGAGCCATCAGTGAGGTGTTCAGCAGTATGCTACTGGGTTATGTAAGGAACCAAAAATTATTAGATTTGGGTCTTAGTGAATTTAATAGCCTTTAATTCAGTGAGAGCTTAACCAGGATGTTTCTTAATGGCCTTAACCACCTGTTTCCATGACACCGGCAGGAACAAATTTATTAATTTTTTATCTGTCTGTCAATTTTGGTTGAAATTAAAGCTTTAGCTCTGTTCTGTGATTCTATTCAAGGAGTGTTTCGTAGACAATATGACCTCAGAAGCCTGGTTTCCCTAGGTAAGTTTGCTACACAAAGTATATCCTTTTCATTCATACTGCTACAGTTTTTTCAGTCCGTCCCAGTGTGTTGGATCTAGAGAGAATCTAAGGAGTCTAGCTTTATTCTATTTAGTTGTCTAGATGAAATCTTCATTACAGAGGTGTAAATCATTATTGTAAATCATTATTGTAGTTTCCCCATGGCCTTTTTAAACAAAAAACAAACCAGTATATATTCTATTCATGTTTTCATGTATGTTTTTTAGTTTTCTTAAAAAATTTTTTTTCAAAATAGTGAAT